TTTGGAAATTTTGGAATTTTTGGAAATTTTGGAAATTTTGGAATTTTTGGAAATTTTGGAAATTTTGGAAATTTTGGAAATTTTGGAAATTTTGGAAATTTTGGAAATCCGGAAAGTTAGGGGCGAGAATTTTGGAAATTTTGGAAATCCGGAAAGTTAGGGGCGAGAATATTGGAAATTTTGGAATTGAGTTTGTGAGGGCTGATCGCCACCCATCCGATGACACACCATGCACATCGACTCAGTTGAGAGGGCATGGTCTGTCAACGGGGGGGGCGACCATATATATATATATATGTATGGTTTTTACGGTTGGGGTTGAGGGTTTTGGAAAAGGTACTTCGCCCTTGACCCCTGTCACTGTGGAGACGCTGGGGACTTTGGTGGTGACGCGGGCGGAAGCGATCCGTCTCGCCTCCTGCCTCAAGTGGTTCTGGGCTTTAGGGCTTTAAGGTTTAGGGTTTAGGGTTTAGGGTTTAGGGTTTAGGGTTTTAAGGTTTAGGGTTATTTTTTGAGGACCATGTCATCTTTAGCTAAAGATTTGGGTTCCTAACCCCGGGTTCCTAACCCATAGCAGGTGTTTTGAAGAATTCTGCGGGTCATTTGGTTCTTAAGGCCGCTGCAAGCTGGAGGTGTTTTGGGGTTTAGGGTTTGAGTTGGCTGTTGTAATTAGACTGTGTTATGAGAGCGGCGTGAAAGAGCTGCAGGAGTACGATAATGAGTTGGGGGTCGAGTCGCACGTTCGCGTTGGGCAATATCCCCGAGGAATCTGAATCTGGATCCCCTCATCCCTACACCTAAATCCTAAACCCCAAACCCTTAAACCCTATAAACCTAATGGAGGCAGCCCAGATTCTTCAGCGTGGTGATTTAAGCCTCGGGGTTTGAGGTGTCCTCGGGGAATTTTCGGCATTTCTTGGGGATACATTCGAAGAAGCGAAGACTTCCTTGTATTCTGGCTGCCCAGAAACCCAATACCCCTTAATTGAGGAATATACCTTAAAATATAGGGGCCATAATAGAATGATTTAAGGTATATTCCTTAATTAAGGGGTATTGGGTTCTCTGGGTGCTTTACCAGAACCCCTCAGCTGTCATATCGACAGAAAGGTTCCTGCGGGACGCCTCTAAATGCAGCCCGAACCCCCCAGGTACCTACTATATAGGGTACTAGAGCCCCGACGAGGGCCCTATATAGTACGTACCTGGAGGCTTGTGGCAGACTAGAAGAGAGCTGGTCTTCGGTGCGTCAAGTTTGTTGATGGAAGCTGTGGGGCTTTGGGCTGGGACATGCGCTTAATCCAGAATAGTGTCTTGGGGATTCCTTAATATAATTACAGCATAATATACCAAGAAGCCCTATTCTAAATATTGAGGCCCTATATTATAGCACAAAGCATCGGGTATGGTAGTGTAAACCAGAGCCCCAAGCCAAACCCACACGCTTAGTCCAGTCGGAGGCTGCTATAGGCCACTGCAAGCCGATGCACCTCCGTGTTCTGTCGGGGCAGCTGTAGCATAATTCTGCCCAGTGATACCCTTCAAGCACTCAGCCGACCGGACCTTGTGATCCCTAAACCCTAAACCCCAAACCCTAAGCCCAGACCTGTCCTAACATCTGAAGACGAATCCCTGAACCCTATAAGCCTTGAGCTCCACTCCATCCGAAAGACATCGGACGGAGCTCTGCTATCCCCAAATCTTGCGAGGCGCTGGCCATTTCGGGGAGTACTCACCTGCCTTTCTGTTGCATTGCTGCGGTTCTTCAGTCGAGTATAGAAGCCTGAGGAATCGTTAATATTATAAGTTACAATTTAGTACTACAAAGAACCCACAAATCCCTATTCAGATTAAAGTTGGGACCTTGTGCTACTAAAGGGCGAATTATGGTAACCTCTTTGAGGGATCTGGTGTTTGGATCCTCCCGGAGGAGGTCTGGGTGAACAGGTCAACAGGGAGCATCTAGGGTGTAAGAGCGAGTAGCTGAGAGGTCTAGATATACCGGCTTAAGACATAGCGGCAGGGCTGCGCAAGAAATATTTGGCGCATTTTTTTTGGAAGGGAAGCCTGGGCTGATGAATGATGCAGCCTGCATGTTGCTCCGCAAGAAATAGGGCTCCATTGCCGTTCGGCCTCTTCAAGCAAGATTCCACTTAGCCCCTCAATAGGAATTAGGGAATCTGAATTCAGTAGCTCTCCTGTCCTACTTTTTGCACACGATAAGGACACATGATATGTTCCCGAAAAGGGCTTCAATTCGGGCCCGAGCGACAGTAATGTAGGGGCCTAAATAATTACCAATACTATTTTGCTGGTTCCTTGTTCAAATTATAGTGCAATGGGCCCCAAGACCCTCTTCTAATTATTAAGGCCCCTACATTGCTACAACCAGAAGTTATACAACAGCAGCAAAGCAGGCCCGACCCTGAGGGCCACATGGACCCAATGACTAGGTGCTTGGGTTTGCTTGGAGGCCCAGGGGACTTAGTAAGTCGGTTATAGGTAGTGTTATAATTGGGATAGCTCCATTTGGGTGCTTATAACTCTACTTATAGCCTACTTACTAAGTTCCCTGGGCCTCCAAGTGGGATATTCCTCTAGGACCAGGTGACCCTTAACAGTAGGGACCCTACATGAATCTCTATATGGTGGATGCACCTTAAACCCGTTTAGGGTTCTTTTCGTCTTTATATACTAATTAATGTAGTAGAAGCCCAAACCCTAAACCCTAATTGCTATATATGGGTTTACGGTTGGGGCTGAGGGCTTTGACCGCTGGACCTAGAGTCGCAGGCGCTGATTGAGTCATTCGAGATTGCGTCCAAGAAGCTACTCGAAGCTGGCAACTATTCTCAGTTGCAGACAAGTCCATGCACATCTTGGCTGAGCATCTGGCTATGGTAGAGCACTCTAGACGTCGCCTTTGGTCGTCATGCGTTGGTGCTGCTGCCTGGGACGAACAGCACAGTGCGGCGGCAACAAAAACGAATATTCGCGACCTACAACCGCAACGAGCAAGGCGCGACCTGAACTCGCCACTGAGTTTCTGCTCTTTCGGCATC